AAGTATTAAGTGAAAAAATTATCAAATCTGATTAAAAATGTTCCAAATGAGAGAAGTCTTTAAGACTTCCAAAATTCTCCTTTATAAAGATAAATCATTTATAAAAATAAAATCATTTCCTTCATCCAATTCTAACACAGGTGGGGAGCGCAAGCTAACTTTTTTCTTTGCTTGAAATGGCAATAAGGGAAGTAAAAGACCTACAAAGAAATCATGAAATAAAGAAAACAGGTATCCTTCCAATGGAAATTTACTAGCCAAATTTAAATAACTCTCTTTGCATAATCTAGTGAATGAGCAAATAAGTAAAAGTCAATGATTTCCTCCATTCAAATCTACATTGAATCTATCTTTTTCCATTTACAACCACTAAAACCAAATGTCAAAATAAACTTAATTTAGAACCAGTGTTAAAACAAGATTTTCAAAAATAATAAAGCACAATCATATTACAACTCATTAAAATTAATGTTTTTGTAAGAACAAAACTGTTTTTACTCCATTAATAAGTTTTTAAAATACTGTTTTATTGTCATCTTCTTTTTAATTTATATTTTTGTATGTGTATTATATGTAATGTGTGCACATAAATAAACAAACATATACTGGGGATATGTGCTCAAAAAATTTTGACAAGACAGGGGTGGCATAATAAAAAATACTTAAAGACCACTGCTGAAGAAAACTAGACTACAAATCTAGAAAGAGGAAGCCAATAAATTTATATCAGTTTACTTTATATTTAAATTAATGGATCAAACATTAATAAAATGCCTTATCTTTCAAACTAGTTCATTCTTACCTGTGAACTTAGCTTTTCATATATTTACAGATTCAGAAATGATGTCTCTACTGTAGTCCTGTTAAAGAGGAAAAAAAAATCAAATTGCAAAGCATTCTGAGCACTACTATTTGAAATGCTTTCCTATACTATATGGTTGTACAAATTACCCTTTGAAGGCCAAAAATCTATTTTGGCTTCTTGTTTCACATACTAAAAGTACAAAAAAATCTTCTTTTATTAAAAGGTACAAGTTCTTTTATACTAAGGCTTCTATTAAATGAAAATTATAGCTGAGTCCTTCTATAAAGAAATTGGAGATTGAGAAAGCAAAATGATGTGCTTGTTAATTCTGCTACAATTTAATTCAAAAAGGCAAATTCTAACTTCCAAAGATAGTCATTTTGGATAAATCCTTAGTCAACTTCAATAAAAATTGAACAAAAGAAAAAAAATTTACTTTAAAAAGTTTAAAAAACATTTTGCCCTAAAAGCTAAAAAATAAAATTAGACGTTTGTTATATATAATTTTATTTGCAAGAGCATGATGGTTGTATACAAATATATGTATATATATGTATATGCTAATCAATGCAATAAAAATCTTGTTATAATAGGGTTGTATTAATACATTCTCTCCTGAGAAGATCAAGATTCATTATATTACAACACATTTCTCACACACACACAAAAAATCTCTCCTTGAAAAGTTCACACTGCCACAAAACCATTTTATCCTCAAAGCCTCTGAAGAAACACTGTCAAAGTAATCACACTGTTATTAGACATTTCTTTTATATAATTTTATTTGCAGGTTATGTGAGGGTTATATACATATATAACTATACAAATATACATATACTAATTTATGCAATAACAAATATTGCTATAAGTTTCTATTATTATATTCTCCTTAGTTCAAATTCATTACAACACAATTCAAACAAAACCTCTCCTTTAAAAAGTTCTTACTGCCACAAAATCATTTGATCCTAAAAGCTTCAGAAGAAATACTGTAAAACTAATCACATTACATTAGACAATTATAAATAATTTTATTAGAAAGAACATGATGGTTGTATACATATATATACATATATATAAATGGATTAAATAACAAACCTCCTTATAATAGACTTCTACTATCTTCTCCTTAGCTGAAATTCATAATGCAAACCAAAAAAAAAAAACCTCTACTCTAAAAAAGTTCATACTACCACAAAATCATTTTATCCTAAAAGCTTCCAAAAAAATTGTAAAATTATTCACATTTTTTAGACATTTGTTATATGTGATTTTATTTGCAAGAATATGATGGTTATATACATGCAACATGTATACATATTAATGCAATAACAAACCTTGCTATAACAGGGTTCTATTATTTTATTCTCCTTGGATCAAATTCATTATTTCATAATTCAAACAAAAAAATCACTCCTTTAAATGTTCATACAGCCACAAAACCATTTTATCCTAAAAGCTTCAGAAAAAAATACTTTAAAATTAATCATATTATATATTTGTTATACATAATTTCACTGGCAAAAGCATGATGGTTTTTTATAAATATGTACATGCTAATTTGTGCAATAACAAATCTTGTTATAATAGAGTTCTATTATTTTCTCTCCCTTAGATGCTCAAGATTCATTACAACAGAATTCAAACCAGAAAAACCTCTCCTTTAAAAAGTTCACACTGCCACAAAATCATTTTATCCTTCAGAAGAAACACTAGAAAACTAATCACATTATATTAGACATTTATCATTTTACTTGCAAGGGCATGATGTTTATATACATAGAGATACAGATGTACATACAAATATATATGTGTGTGTGTGTATATATATATATATGTAGAGAGAGAAAGGGAGATACTAATTCATGAAGTAACAAATCTTCTTATAAAAAGTTCTATTATATTCTCCTTTGCTCAACATTCATTATAAGGTAACTCAAACTAAAAAAATTTTTTTAAATTCACACTGCCACAAAATAATTTTGTCCTAAAAGCTTCAGAAGAGATACTGTAAAACTAATCACATTATATTAGACCTCTGTCACATACAAGTTTATTTGCAAGGGAATGATGGTGTGTGTATGTAAAGATAAATACACACACACACACACACACACACATATATGCTAATTCAAGTTAACAAATCTTGTTATAATGAGGTTTTATTAATATTCTCCTTAGAAGCTCAAGCTTCCTTATATTACAACATAATTTTTTAAAAAACCCACTCCTTTAAAAAGTTCATACTGCCACAAAAGCTTCAGAAGAAATATCATAATATTAATCACATTATGTTGGACATTTGTTATATATTATTTGCAAGAGAATGATGGTTGTAATAGATATATACATATATACACATATATTCATATACATAAATACACTTACATATATGCTAATTTATAGTAACAAATCTTGTTATAACAGGGTTCTACAATTATTGTCTCCTTAGTCCAAGATTCACTACAACATAATACAACAACAAAATCTCTGCTTTAAAAAGTTAAACAATTGCTACAAAACCATTTTATCCTAAAAGCTTCAGAAAAAATACTAGCAAAACTAATCACATTAATGGCATGTGTTATAATTTTATCTGAAAGAGAATGATGGAATATATATTATATATACACATACATATATACATATATAGGTACACTATATATACACGTGTACATATATATGTATACACTAATTCATGTAAAAACAAATTGTTATAATAGCGTTCTATTACTATATTCTCCTTAGAACCTCACGATTCACTATAACATAATTCAAAAAAAAGAAAAAATAGCTGCTTTAAAAAGTTAAACAATGCTATAAAACCATTTTGTCCTAAAAGCTTCAGAAAAAAATACTACAAAAACTAATCACACTAAGCATGTGTTATAATTTTATTTGAAAGAGAATGACAGAATATATATTATACACATACACATATATACATACACTATATATACACATGCACATATATATGTGTACACTAATTCATGTAAAAACAAATCTTGTTATAATAAGGTTTTATTACTATATTCTCCTTAGAAGCTTAAGATTCACTATAATTCTAAAAAAAAGAAAAAATAGCTGCTTTAAAAAGTTAAACAATGTACAAAACCATTTTGTCCTAAAAGCTTCAGAAGAAATACTATTAAAACTAATCACATTAATATTAGGCATTTGTTATAGTTTTATTTGAAAGAGAATGATGGCATATACATTACATACACACACACATACACACTATATATACACATGCATATATATATACTAATTCATATAAAAACAAATCTCATTATAATAGGGTTCTATTATTATATTCTCCTTAGAAGTTCAAGATTCACTACAACATAATTTAAAAAAAAAGAAAAAATTACTTGATTTAAAAAGTTAACACTGCCACAAAACTATTTTGTCCTAAAAGCTTCAGAAGAAATACTGTAAAATTAATCATTTTCTATTAGGCATTTGTTTTATATAATTTTATTTGCAAGGGCATGATGGTATCTGTATATATGTATACACACATACTAATTCATGTTAATAATAAATCTTGTTATATTAGGTTTCTAACACATTCTACTTAAAAGCTCAAAGTTCACTATCATAACATAATTCAAACAAAAATGTTTTTATAAATCCACACTGCTACAAAATCATTTTATCCTAAAAGTTTCAGAAAAAATACTGTTAAAAACTCATCATATTAATATGAGGCATTTGTTTATTTTTATTTTGCAAAGGCATGATGGTGTGTATATAATACACACATACATATACTAATTCATGGAAAAATAAATCTTGAAGCTCAACATTAATTATACAAATCAAAACAAAGGAAAAAACATCTACTTTAAAAAGTTCACACTGATAGAAATTCATTTTGTCCTAAAAACTTTAGAAGAATAACTACAAAACTAACCACGTTATAATAGGCATTTGTTACATATAATTTTATTTGCAAAAGTATGATGGTATAGAGAGTATATTTACACACACACAATTCATGTTAATAACAAATCTTATTATAATAGAATTCTATTATATTCTACTTAAAAGGTCATAATTCGAACCTACAAAATTTCTGCTTTAAAAAGTTAACATTGCCACAAAATCATTTTGTCCTCAAAGCTTCTGAAGAAATAAGATTTTTAAAAAAGTTAGTCACATTATAGTAAGCATTTGTAATGTATGATTTTACGTGCAAAAACCATGATGATGTGTGTGTGTATATATATGCATATATATACTAATTTGTATTACTAGATCATGTCAAAATAGTTTTATTATATTCTATGTAAGAGCTCAAGATTCATTATAACATTATAACATAATTCAAACAAAAAAATCTGTTTTAAAAAGTTAATGCTGCCACAAAATCATTTCATCCTCAAAGCTTCAGAATATTGTAAAAAAAAAAAAACTTAATCACATTATATTAGGCATTAGTTATACATAATTTTATTTGCAAAGGCATGATAGTAGATAGTATAAATATGTATGTACATACATACATACTAATTCAAACTGATAACAAATCTTTTTATAATAGTTCTATTATATTCTACTTAAAAACTCAAAATTTATTACATTATAAAATAATTCAAACCAAAAAAAATCTTTGCCTTAAAAAGTTAATGCTGCCACAAGATCATTTTGCCCTTTTTTTAAAAAGCTTCAGAAGAAATAAATGTGTAAAAAAAAAAGTCATATTACATTACTAAGTATTTGTTACATGTACAGTTTTCTTTGCAAATACATGATGGTATGTGTGTATATGAATATATATGCATAATATACTAATTCATGTTAATAAATCATGTCACAATAATTTTATTGTATTCTACTTAAAAGCTCAAGATTCATTAAAACATAATTCAAACCAAAAAAACCTGTTGCAGAAGAAATAATATTTTAAAAGCTAGTCACGTTAGGCATGTTACACAAAGTTTTATTTGCAAGGGAATATGCAATGTTGTGTATACATACACAAAAACATATGTATACAAATACGTACATATAACATATACACTAATTCATGTAATAACAAATCTTGTT